CATCTGAAAGCTAATGTTAGCAAACTGCTAGCTAACTGGTACACTGACAACATATATCAGAGACTAGCTAGCTAATCTACATATATCCTTAGTTAGCAAGTGTTGTGCTAACTATTGCCTTTTATCGATAGTGACAACTGAAGAGTGATAGGAAGGAGGGGAGAGAGAGGATGACATGCAGCAAAGGGCCTCAGGTTGGATGTGAACTCTGGGCTGCTCCAAGGACCCAGTCTTTCAAGAAGGGGCACAAGCTCTACCAGGTGAGCTCTCCGGGCACCCTCACATTGTGAAATCTGTCAAAAAACGACTGCTGCAGTGCCACAACAAGGAGTTGTTTGAGTGGATCAGAATGAACACAAACCACCTCTGGTTTTGTGTCACAACATGTGAGGAAAGTGTGACAAAGTTGAAAGAGAAGTGTATCTCATTCCTTCACACTACCAATGTTCATCACTGGGTGTCTGGTGAGACATATGACCAAGTGTGAGCATCAGCAGTGTACATATTTAGGATTGGCCCCGCGCAAATATTTTCTGTAACCCTCATTTATCATATCTGTGGTTTTTAACAATTTTTTAAATGTAAACTTTTAAAGACTTAGGCAAAGTTTTTACAGTTTCTAAGCTTACTTTAGTTTGTAAAAAAAGCACTTTATTCTTTACTTTTCATTAATTCTTAGATTATTTTTAAGCAGGACATTGCACGTGTGAAGGCATAGATAGATATAGATAGATAGTAAGATAGATAGATAAGATAGTAGTAGATAGATAGAAGTAAGGAATTAGAGCTTTATTAATCCCGAAGGGAAATTGGTCGTCATAGCAGCCAGGTACAATTTAAGTACAATAAAATACAACAAAGAAAAGAATTTTTTAAAATAGGTAGGTAAGGTGCAAAGAAGTTGTAGTGCAAGATGGTGGTAATAGTACTGATGATATGATGTATTATTATATAATAAATATAATAATATAATAATAATAATATGTATATATAATATGATGACTGAACAGATATACATGTATACACATAGATATTATACATTAATATTGATATAATGTAAACATGTCATATATTCAGCCTGTGCAAAGTGTGCATACATACATCATGTAATATATATACACAATATATATAATATGTACACATATATATATACACGAGATATGATATGATATATAGCATATGTATAATAGATACTTGACTATACAAAAAATATATACATACAATAGATATTATGTATAGGCATGCCTCTAAGAAAATGATTCCTGTTTTGAATTAATGATGGGATATTCGTTTACAGTTCAGTAACAGAGATATATTTAAAGTTGTTCTGTTTGAAGTAGCTCAGCCTACCATCACACTAACCAATACATTAGATAACCATTATGTATATTTCATCAAGTTTTGATATATACTGTACTTTTTATGTGCACAGGGAATTTATTTTTGTCTGTAATGTACCCAACAAAATCTACATTAACGTTTTTCTACTGTTCTATGTGTGTTGGTTTTAAAATATATTTAATACAAAATAATGTGATTTTTTTTACATTGAATGTTTTTTATATGAAACTTAAAATGTACTCAGAGTACTTATGTACTTAACATAGAAAGGTTTATTTAAATGCTTACTTATTTTCTAATTAATCTCATTTATTCTACATGAAAAATATTTCATACCATGTCTTACTGCCTTTTTAAATTATAGAAATGTATATAATGCTGCAATTTGTCTATCATAATAAGAAAGGCATAAAAACATAATTATAATTAAAAAATTTAAATAAATTTAAAAATAAACAAAACATTAAAAAAAGTTCTAGAACAGGAAATGACTTCACAGAATGGATCAAAGAAAAAGATCAAAGGACAGTAATTTGCATCATGATGATGTCACCATTGGAATGTCATGACATCACAACATTTACAAATACAAGTCCAGTGTATCACAGTCTCTATTTGTTTTTAGTTCCTGTTGGAGTACACAGTACGTATATACAGAGAAACACAGTGGGAAGACTTATTACACACTTACAATAATTTCATTTAAGGTGGTACTAACAGCTTATCACAATGAGTGACAAAAAGGATAAGGGCTCTAAAAGCACGAGTATAATACTACTCAGGGAAGAACTACACCGGGCCAAGACAAATGAGAAATGGCTCATGGACCAAAACAAGAAGCTGAAAGAAGATCTTTCCAGCCTCGTTACAACTGAGATGTCTTTGAAAAAAGAACAGGTTGAGGTTTCCATTCTTAAGAAAAAGCTAAAAGAGCAAAGTTTGCATGTTGACAACCTTAGGGACAGCTTATCGAAGGTTAAAATAGCGCTTCGGGATGAGGAGACCCAGAGCACTAACGAGAAGAGGGCATCTGAAAACCTCATTATGGAGCTTGAAAGGAAATGCATGGAATTTGAAAACAAATACACATTGGAGAAGATGCTGAGAGAACAGAAGGAGAAGGAGTTGGAGAAATTTCCCGGCCTAACTAAGGAGAACAAAGATCTGATCTCGCAGAAGCAGGTATTGCATCATCAGGTGCAACAGCTGGCAGGGTATAAAAACTTTGCCTCTAGAAAATTACAAGAACAGAAGCAGCAGCTGAAAGACAAGGACAGGGAACATGAAGAAACTTTAGCGGAGTTAAAAAAAACAGGACAGCTTGTTGTAGATTTGAGATTCCAGGTGGAAAATCTGATCCCTTATAGAGACAAAGTTAAGACTGTCCAAAAAGAAGTTGAGAAACAGATAACGAAAATCCACGAATACAAAAAACATGCTGATGCTCATTTGAAAGTGATACATCGGCAGAGAAAAGAGGCAGCGCAGCTGAGCCAACAGATAGAGCAAAAATCATTTGAGATTCTAGCAATAGAAAGGCAGAGACACAAAACACAGAAAGATGCAGATTCTGCAATACTGAAACTAGAAAATCAAAAAGAAGAGTCAGAGAAGCAGCGTGGCATCATACTAATGCTGGAAAAGAAAATGATCTTGTTCAGTCAACTAAAAGAAAAACTCCAACATCAGGAGAGCGAAAACTCCAGGTTAACTGTGTCCAGAGACAATGAAGTCATCTATCTTAAGAATTTGATTAATGAGTTAGAGACCAAAGTAAGACATCAGATAAACCTGACTGAGGTTGTCAAGGGACAGAGAGGCCTCCTCTGTCAAAACTTGTTCAGGGCTCAGGAGGAAATACGACAGAAAAACGATGAAGTTCAACTATTGAAAGATGAAATCAGAGATAAGACTTGTGAGATCAATGGAAGGAATGCAGAGCTGGGCGATATTAAGAGGAAATATTGTTCCATGAAGAAGCAGCTGATGAATCTTAAGAGGCAGCAAGTAGAAACAAAAAGAACAAAGGAGATCTCTATAATTACTGCTGATAGGTATCAGGCCCTGGGCAAGAAAAGATTGGCCATTTTGACAGCAGAGAAGGACATGTCAAACAAAGAGCTAGACCAC